TGAACACTGTGGCTGCAGACACGGAGAAATCAGTCTGGAACTGAGCAGAAAATTCCCCGAGATGATTGGCTCTTTTATTATTACAGGGTGCTGGCCATGCTGATACAGGAGAATTATCACCTTCTGTCCTACTTGGTTATGTACAACTTGTGCTTCATGACCAATAAGTCAGGCAACATTTCCCTGGTAGTGCTTTAGTGGCAACACTGTGATGGGTATTAGCTTCTGCCTCACTGGCCAGCCTGTTATGCCATCACCTGCCAAGAGATGACTGTCTACTGTTGGCAATGCAACACACACACCCCTTGAAAGTGCCCAACTGGCCATCTCCTGTATCAGATTGGTGACTTCCCAATAGTCATTAAAGAGCCTTCATCCAGTAACTGATGGAAGCACAGTCAAGAACTAGGCCAAGCTCCGGGAACCCTGTTGAAGAGAGGGAAGGAGGATTGCATGAGCCACAGGTGTCAAGGTCATCACAAGGGAACCCACAAAGACAACTAGCCTGGGTTCATAGGAGCTCATAGACACTAGACTACCAGCTAAGGAGCCCACATGGGACTATCCTAGGCCCTCTATTTATGTATGATAGTTGTATAGCTTCGTCTACTTGTGGGACTTCTTTGAGTGGGAATGGGGCCTGTGCCTGATGCTTTGGCAGGTTTTGGAGAACATATTCCTCATACTGAGTTGCCCTACCAAGCCTTAATACTGAGAGACCAGACACCAGCAAGCAAGACTAATGCCATTTGAACACCATCTTGAGAAGCTACTGACCAGACCCTGAACCCAGTTCCTGGGGAAACCACAAACAGCTGAAAGTTGTCCCAGGGCCCCCCAAACCCTGCCAAATCAGCCTAACACTGAGGAAACACATCTTATCATGGTCACCAGATATCCCAATAGGTCACCAGACATTGTAGCAGAAATTGCCAAATGCTTACTTAACCTCAGGACCAATAGACCCAGGAAGATGCCCCCTGAACCAATCAGAAAATGCCACAGCTTGCACTCCCCTAACTGTCTGTTTTTCCCTTTATATGCTCATTCCCCTGCTTCTCACCCCTGTGCCAGAGTGTGATTGGGCTTAATAAACCCTTGTATGTTTGCACTGGTACTTGGCTCTGTGGTGGTCATGTTTGGGGGGGGGGGTCCCATGTCCTGGGCACAACAATATGAGGAAAGGAGCTTAGTCCTACCTCAATTTGATGTGCCATGCTCTGTTGACACCCATGGAAGGCCTGTCCCTCTCTAAACAGAAACACAGAGTAGATTTGGGAGGCACAGGGAGTTATGGGGGAGTAGGAGGAGAGGAGGGAGAGGAGACTGTGGTGGAATATAAACTAAATTTAATAAAGAATAATAATAGCAATTTTAAAAGTGCCAATCTGTCACTGTCCTCTTTCTTACTCTTGTTCCTCTTGCTCTTGTCCCTCTTGTTCTCCTGTCTGTCTGTCTGTCTGTCTGTCTGCCTGTCTCTCTCATGTCCCACTCTGAGACCAAGATGGCCGTTTGCTGATTCATTCTTCTTCCCCTAATAAACCTCTTGAACCAACTCTGATGCATATGGCCTGTTCTTTTAGGGACATACCTTGGCAGGGCCCACCAGAGGTACCCACCTTGTCACTTTTTATCCTTTCAGTGGGCACAACCAATCGCTTTCCAAGTGAAATTAAGACAGGCTGCACAGGAGGGAACTCTTGTTTAGTTCTGTAAGCAAGGGCAAAAACTTGTGGCTGTCAAGGTCAAAACCTAGGGATGTGATTAGTGCTCTTGTTTTGTTAAACAACAATGATTTTCCTGTAGAAATGTCTTCTAAACATGCATGTTTATGCTCATGGATTACTGCCATATTCAGCCTTAACCGCAGAGGGAAACCATTATTTTTTCCTTCCAATCAGTACTGGTTACTGCAGAGACTCATAGCTGCCCAAGTTGCTGAGAATATATAACTACTACTGTATATAAAAGAAAGGGTGTCTGCTATCTACCTCTCTCCAAGACTCAGTGAGCTTCAGAGGAGACTGAGCAGAAAGAATGTAAGAGTTAGAAGAAGGGCTGGAGAGCTGTGTATCTACTTCTTTCAGACTGAAATAGTGTGGGAATTTGTATGTTGTGTAAAGATATATTGTTGTGATTAGTTTAATAAAGAGTTGAACAGACTATGGCTAGAAAAGAGATATAGATGGGACTTCCTGACAGAAAGAGGAAGTAGGAGGAGATAATAGAGGTGCAGGAGAAACACCAGGAGACATGGAGAGGAAGCAGAAGATGCAAAATGGAAGAGAGGTTATGTCACATGGCAGAATGTAGATTAATATAAATGGGTTACTTCTGTTATAAGAGATAATTAGGAACAAGTTTAAGCCACAGGCAGAGCTTTCATAATTAATAATAAATCTCCATTGTGGTGATATATTGTTTATGATTTATTAAAGCCACTGAATATCAAAATAGCAAAGCAGTCATACTAGTTAGCCATAGAAGCTAGGCAGTGATGGCACACACCTTTAATCCCAGGACTCAGGAGACAAAGGCAGATGGATCTCTCTGAGCCAACTAGGGCTGCATGAGATTGAATCAGTCTAAAAGAGTAGTAGAGCTTTTATCCCAGCACTAGACAGGTGTAAAAGATAGGAGCAGGGTCTTCAGTAGTCAGTATCAGGCAATAATTCTTCAGCTACACTGTAGAGAGGCAGCAGTCCGAGGCTTGATAGACAGCTCGTGGAGACAGGATCAGCCCTTTCAGCCTGAGGGAGAGGTAAGAGCTAGTGACTTGGCTGCTTTGCTTTTCTGATCTTCAGCTTGAAGCTTGAACCCCAATATTAGTTTCTGAGTCTTTTATTGTTGATGTTACACTCCATGCCATTATTTGTGAGCTGGTGGCTCAAAGAAAAAATCTGACAACAATAAGACCTTCCATTATGGAGAAAATTTCAGGAAGCCCATAAAACTCACAAGAAATGTACAAGATTCATGACCCTTTCCTGTTACCTATATTATATAAATAGTAAATAATTGCTAGGAAAGAGGAGACTCTTCAGTGGATCTGCCTAAAACCAGTGGAGGGAGAGCAAGCTACTCAGTGTTCATGAGGCATCACCAATGGAGAAGGAAGTTTTAATGGTGCAGTATCCTGAGTCACACACGGTATTCAAAATAGCCTCTCACACACTGCCGTAATACATTCAATGGGTCGGCCAGATAGACTTGGGTGAAATGGGTTCCTTGTTTATTGTTATTGCCCTGTCTGGAGTGAGTAGACACTCATATTATCCCCAGGAAAAGTCACACAACATTGCAGAGGTTCCAAAGGCTACGTAGTTGAAGACACCTTAAGAGGTCAAGTTGTAGGGAGGACACCACTGAGAAGGATTCAAGTGACAAAACTGCCAGAAACACAGATTAAACTGCATAAAACATGGAATGGAAACATGTATTAAAACTCATTGAAAAAATTCAATGAAAAATCAATTGTATTAGACAAAAGCTAAGTTTTGGTTTGTTTGTTTATTTGTCTGTTTGTTTGTTTTGAGACTGCATCTCTCTATGTAGTCTTGGCTGTCCCAGAACTCCGCACTTAGACCAGCTCACAGAGATCTGCCTGCCCAAGTGCTGCATTCAATCCAGTCCGTTTTAAATCTTATCTACTTCAGTGAAGCCAAATCTATTTTTCACATAAGATTTTTCACCCTACTGCTTCAATACTATGAAATGCACTTTTTATCCTGAGTTCAGTGAAATATGTCTACTTATTTTTTTTATATTCTTTCGTGGAGGACTTTGATCCTTCCATAATATACTTGGGTCCCACACAGCAGAGACACACACATTACTCAGCTTTGTAATTTTCTTGCTATCATTTCCTCCCAAATTGTCCGTGCTGCTTCAGGATCAAGCAGATACCTGAGGGGTTGATCCCTCTGCAGATGACCAGGCAGAGAGGGGCCAAGAGAGGGCAAGAGGTGAGGGTGGGAGTTGGGCTGAAGGGCTACTGCTGTGCTCATTTGACAGCAATGGGCAGTTTCGCAGAGGAAAATGGTGGTGTACAATCCTCCAGAAATGACATGTCCCACTGAGACTGGCAAATTCTGGGTCCATCTTAATCATTCAGAGTATTGTCCCAGCCCTCTATCTCTGTGGTACCACCATGCCCCTGAGGTATTATCAACACAGACCTCAAATACTGGCCAATAACAGAAAAGTCAAGGTAAATGAAAATACCCAGAGATCTGTATCCAGGTCTTCATTGCCTGAGGGTCATGAGGGAGGGTCCTGCAAGCCTCCTCCCTCCACCCCTGCCCCTGCTCCTGGGTTACTCAAAGCTAAGTCCCTCGCAGGATTCCATGAAGTTCACCAATACAGCAAGTGTTGATATCCTGGCATTATGCTGACCCCGCCCCCTGACAATTGGCAGGGTAAGCACACCAGCATTAGGGCAGATACTTAGACAGCACAAAGGGCGGTTCCATGGCTACATCATGTATTGCATAGCTGTGTAAGGACTTTGTAGTCATGTGCAAGCTTTCCCATTTAAACAAACACCTCCTGCCTGTTCTCTCTCTTTCCATTTCCGCTCCTGGTCACTGACACCAACCCCTCCCTTTCACAATAAACTCCACATGGGTTTTGTTGAGTTTTGTGGTTCATATTTCATTGCCTGGAGCTGCAGCAAACAACAACAGCAAGATCTCTGTAGGGACCTGCAGACATTTGCAATGCTGATACCATCATCCAGTCCTGTCCACCCTAGTGACTACCCAAATTCTCTTGTCCCACTGTCAGGCATCTTCTGAAGCTACTTGGCATTGGCTACATATCACTTGAATGTCTAAGAGACCACATAGCTCTACAGGACTGCTGGATGCCATGCTACTTGGTGTCTGGTATCTCTTAATTCCAATAGTTCATCAAACTTGAACTAAGAAAGTCTGACACATAAAACCTGGACACAGAAAAAATGCTCAACTCTTTATTGGATTCAGACAGGGCAGAGATAGCTAAAGCAGGATGGCAGTCCACTGGGGAGTAACAATCAAGGAAGGAGTGGGTCTCCGAGAGGGGAAACGGAGCTCAGTGGTCTGGAGGAAGAGTAGTCCAGTGAGGTCATTGCTGTGTACTGGTGGCAAAGATGGCTCAGCAGTTGTGGTCCTGGTGGGCTGTGACAGAGAGAGGGACACAAATGAGAAACTCCTTCCCTTACAGTAAGAATAGCAGTCAGAGAATAGCTACCTGGGAGGTAGGTGCCTATTGGAGACCTTCCTTCCATCAAGCCTCTGGACGGTCCCTATGAGAATACGTGGGCCCCTGAACAATTTTGATCCTGACTCCCTTGACCTTGTAGATCTCTGATTGTGTTTGGTGAGTACCTAGGGCGTAGAATTAGATCTGGGAAAAGACCCCAGAAAAAGAAGGGACAGGTTTCTTGGGAATTATCCATCTGGAGTGACCACTGCTTCCTGGCTAAACAGGGTCCTCCTGAACGAGAGAGTGTGAGGAGGGTCAAGAGTAGATAGAAACTTCAACCCTGGAACTGAGGGTTCTGGATTCTCTCAGGGTTCCTTCAGAAGGTTGCTTACCACTGTTGTGTCTGGGAACACAGCGTTCTGTAAAAGCAAGAAAAAAAAATCAAATGTGAGAAGGTGTCCAAGGTGCTTTGGGAGCCCATTTCCTATGGAAGAATACTCTCTCAGCCTAAACACATAGGGGAGCCCTCGGCCCCGCCCCAAATGATGTGATAGACTTTGATGATCCCCATGGGATCCCTCACCCTCCCTGAGGAGTGGATGGGGGATGAGATGGAGGTTGGTGGGGGGGAATGGGAGGGTGGGAGGGAGAGGGAACTAGGATCAGTGTGTAAAATAAGATTGTTTTTAACTTAAATTTTTTAAAATTAAAAAAAAACAAGGTGTCCAGGGTGAAGACCCACATTACACTTGCAGTATGGATGGCCCCATGATTAAGATCATAAGAAGGGCAAGGTTAGTGAAGGAAAGCACATGGTTACATAACAGCTGCAGAATCATGGATGACACAGAGGAGACATGAGGAGCAGAGCAGAGCATTTTCTCACCCCTCTGCTCAGGCACAATGATGTTTTCTTGAAGAAATCCTTTGCGCTGTGTGAAATTCTTAAATTCTTCCAGGGCCTCCAGGTTTTCTTCTGGACACTTTCCTGTGAGCAGAGGCAGAGAGGGTGTGATTGCACAGCTCTGTTTGGAGCCAATGACAAAAGACAAAAGCACTGTCCAGCACTAGGCCCTTCAACCTGGAGAAAATGGGAGCAAGAGGGGAGGAGACTTTAGAGCTAGCTTGGAGATAGGACATGTTAATTAGGGAATCCAAAGGAGGGGCTTGTGATTGCTTGACTTCGATACTTTGATAGCTTGAACCTTGGTAGCCTCAGGAGGAAATGAGCAATTAAGGGGATAGACCAGGTGGCCAGCTTCAGGCATGTAATCCTAGGGTTTTTAGCTAGTGCACAGGAAGAGGGTAATACACATAGGGCCACTGTATGACCAAACATACGTGACATCCTAGCAGACAAATAATGTCATGTGTTTTCATTTATTTTTTATTTTATATACCAACCCCATTTCCCCCTACCTCCCCTTCTCCCAACCCCCCCAACTTACCCCCACATTCTAACCAAGAAGGACCTTGTGTTTCAAGGTCACTAGTCTGCCTCCTATACATGGGGAACATTGCCCATGTAATTGGGTTTGTGTTGTTGTTGTTGTTGTTGTTTTTACTCTTTTCTCTTTGAGGGACACACCATCCAGTTCCCAAATAAATGCAAAGACATTTTCTTTCATATGAATGTGCCACCTTAACTTGGCTTGTTTCTAGCCAGCTTTTCTAATTTAAATTATCCAATTTCTCTTTAACTACGTTTGCTTCTGGGCTTTTCACCTTTCTTTATTCTATATATCTTTCTTTCCTTCTTACTCTGTGGCTGGCTGTGTGGCTGGGTGCCTGGCCCCTTGAGTCCTCCTCTCCCCCTTTTCTCACTCCTCACTCCCCTCTCAAACCTAAATTTTCTCCTCCTATTTATACCCTCTGCCTGGAAGCCACACTTATCCCTTTCCTGCCTAGCTATTAGCCATTCAACTGTTTATTAGACCAATTTAGACAGGCAAAGTAACACAGCTTTACAGAGTTAAATAAATGCAACATAAAACAACACAACACATCTTTGCATCATTAAAAAATGTTCTACTACGGAAACAAATGCAACACATCTTAAATTAGTACTCCATAATAGCTCATAAAAGGTATCTTTTAGGACACAGCCTTTCAATGATGTCTGCGTGCTATGAAACCCTAGGAAGTGCCATGTAGTAAGTCGCTGGCTGGAACTTCTGTCCTTAGTCAGTGCTCAAGGCCCATCTGGTCACATCCCTGGAAGTTCTGCACAGACCACACCTTCCCACTTCAAAGCATGCACACTAACCACACGGCACCTTATGCAGAGCTGCTAGAGGGACATACAGGGTACCAGGGTAGAGCTATGCACATTCAAATAGCTAACAGAAGTAGAGGGCATGGGCAAGAGGTGGGATCTCTGGAATCCCTCACCTATGAGGAGTCCCCTTTGGAATTTTTTCTCAAGTGACAGGTTGTCCATGTACATGATGTAGTGGTCCTTCACTGGAAGCTCATAGATGTAGTAGAACATCTGACCCGAAACTACAGAATAAAGAGAAATGAGTGTGCAGTGTCTTTTTCAAAGACAATGTTCAGCCTGCACTAAGGAACAGTCTAGAAAGTTTCAGCAATAACCTGTGAGCACCCAGCCATCTGACTCCAGGCCTTGCTGTGGCCCTATCACAAGACAAATGTTCCTTCTGGAAAGGTGTCATCCATAGCTAAGGAGTTGGAACCACAGTTGTCATGGAAGATAGAGACTCTGCCTGACTGGCTCCCTCACAGCTACCCTTCCTGCTGCCTAAATCCTAATCTTCAGTCTCCCTACTGGCCAGTGGTAAGTACTATCTAAAGGGAAGCATGATCTCTTCTGTGGACCAGCCTGTGATCTCTAAAGTCGTCTGGGAATTAACTGGTAGGTCTTCCCCAAAAGTAATCAGAGCTGCAACCCCAAAGCTTGAGGGACAATCACGTACAGCCAGGGGTACCATGTTGGCTAATAACTTGACACAATCTAGAATCACCTGGGAGATGCTCCATTGGCCATGACCATGGGTGTGATATTGATTGTGTTAATAGATTGTGGAAGAATCATCTCAATGTGGGCAGGAGTATTGTGTGGGCATCAGATCCTGGACTGTAAAATGGTGAAACCATCTGAGCACTAGTGTGAATGCATTCATTGCTCTCTTCTGACAATGGGTGTAATATGATGAGCAGTTGCTTCATGCTCCAGCTGCCTGGATGCCCCACTATTTCAGACTGTACCTTGAACCGTGAGCTAAAGCAAACCCTTTCTCCCCTAAGCAATGTTGATTAAAGTGGATGACCTCACCGAAGACTCCTAGAAATAGTGGAGAGGATGCTTTAAAGGTCTTCCCCTTTAATCAGATTAGTGGCTACCCTAACTGTCATCATAGACCCCACACCCAGATGGACCCAATGACCCACAGCCAAGCACTGGGCTGGGCTCCTGGAGTTCAGTTGAAGAGAGGGAGAAGGGATCATATGAACAATGGGGGTCAAGACCATGATGAGGGAAACAACAGCTGACCTGAGCCAGTGGGAGCTCATGGACTATAGGCTGACAGCTGGGGAACCTGCATAAGACTGAACCAGGCCCTTTGATTGTAGGTGACAGTTATGTGACTTGAGCTGTTGGGTGCCTGGCAATGGCACTAGACCTAACCCAGGGGCAAGAACTGGCTTTTTTGGAGCCCATTCCCTATGGCGGGATACCTTGATTGGTGGGGTGGCTTAGTCCTGCCTTAACTTGATATGCCAGAGTTTGTGAACTTCCCAAAGAAGGCCTTACTTACCCCCTCTGAGAAGTGGATGGGGTGGGAAAGGGAAGAGGTGAGGGGGCAGAAGAAAAGGAAGGAGGGGGAACTGGGGTTGGTATGTAAAATGAAAAGTAATTTTTTAAGTAAAAAAAAATAAAAAATGTATTGTGTGAAAAATTTAAAACAAAAGTAAGAAAAAAGCAAATAAAATAAAATCTTGAACCAGAAAAAAAAAAAAGAGTGTTTTATGAAAGCAAAAGGAGAAGGAACGGAGACAGGGACTCACAGGTGGTGTATTGACCAGGCTCCTCTGTTCTCTGAAAGCGAAATCCTACCTTAATGCACTGGCCCTCATACCTGGAAAACAGGAAACCAACCAACATCCTCTTTCAGAACACATGCCTGTGCTCTACCGGGGTCACCTGGTTCATCAGTCTTAGAACAATGACCCCTGAAATCCAGTATCCAACCCTCCAAGTTTCAGGATGCTGACAAAGGAAGGGCCTTTTCTGTCACCAATGTCCAAACACCGATAGAGGAGGGGAGATAAAGTTGAAAATACCCAGGGACACTCACAGGACAGTGGTCCTGACCTCCAAGGTTCCTTGTTCCGGGCATGTCACTCTATGAGGGAACATTACCACAGGTTTCCTCTTCTCTGCCAGGTTCCTTTGAGTCACCATGGCCTTTACAAACCAGACACCTGACAGCTGTAGCAGACAGAGCCCTGAGCACATTCAGCCAGCCCCAAACCTCCCCCAGGCTGCCCATAGGCATGCAGTCTGAACACACACCCCAGACCAAGATGCAGCCCCTGAATTAGTGAGGTTCAGCTCTCCAACCCCATGCTCCTTAAAATTCAATTACAACTACAGTTTTGTGGTTCAGATGAAGCAGAAGCTGTCTGTCTCCAAAGGCTGAAAACATTTAGGAGCCTAGGAAACAACACACAAGGTTCTATCAAGTGAGACTTTCTGGTTCTGGGTGTCCCTGCTCTCGGACCCTTCCTGCTCCACCTCTGTGGCTCAGGAGCCCATGAGTGCTGGAGAACAGTAGTGTCTGCTCAGACTCCGAGGACCTAAACCCTCATGAGTGCTGGCTCCGGCCCTCAGGCACTGGACAGCAGTCAAACCTTCCACATACACCTGTCCACCATCCCTCCCGCCTCACTTTGTTGTCTTCTGAGAGGAAGGGCAGGTCATCCTGGGCCTGTAGGACAGCCACCAGGACAAACAGTGTGACAGTCGGGAGCATGCTCTTCATCTCCAGGCTGTGTGCTCTCAGACAAGGCACGGCACTGTGGGGTGACTCAGTGAGGCTCTGCTGGCTCCTCAAAGGATGCCTTTTATGGCCATATCACACTGGCCACACCCCTCCTGGCCATCTGTCATGGCCAAATCCATGTCCATCATGGGGGTGGATCTTGTTGCTGTTGAGATATGGTGGTCATTCATTTCTACCTCCAGAAAAATAAAAAGATCTACAATGTCTGTACCATCCAAGGGTGCTACTCCTGAAGGACCCTAGAGAGTATGAGTGAGTCAGATGCAGAGTGGGGGACAGAGTCTACACTCTGGATCAGTAAGGAAATGCTAAATTCAATCTCTAGCCCTGCTTTCCCTCTTTGTACACCATGACTGGCCTGACTACCTTCTCTGGAAGGTAACTTACCAGCTCCTCATAAAAGGACTGAGCCTCTTCTCCATATGCAGTCCTATTGATTCCCAGAGCCCACACTGTGTTCTAGGATCTCACCTCCCTGCTGTTCATGCCTGGAAGCCCATCCTAGATGTGGGTAGGGTAACCATGTGATGGCTTAGGGTCTCCTGAAAGAGGGGCCCCTGGCCACTCTCAAGCCCAGTCACCTGAACTGCTGCACTCTGCCCCTGGAGCCATCAGGGCTCTTATTTCACTCCTTACTCTCAAGTGTCTTACTCCTGCTTCCTCACCTCTACCCATCACCCACCTTCTCTGTCACGTTCTAAACCCCTGAGGAGCATGGCCTTGATACCTGTGCTTCCCAATGTCACAATGAAGCTGGAAAAGCTGGAGCTACACGTCAGGGCATCATGATTATGTGTTCACTGAGGAATAGGTCAGGGACAGCAACTTTAACAAAGGGTATTGGATCCTCTGCTGTGCTGGTCATCAGAGGGCCTGCTGAAGGAAGTGATGGAGCTGCAGCCCACGCTGCTCAACTGAAACCCCTTCCACACCGTGTGGCCGGCGATAGGTCTTAGGGCTGACGCAAGCAGTTCAGAGCCAGTGTTTGCACAATTGCGTCACCTTTCTCAGACAAGAGTCCCCATCAAACTAAAATTAACACTTCCATTTGTCTGAACAGTGACAGGCCACCAAGGTGACCACAAGTCTAGGTCCCTTTGGATCAAAAGGGCAAGAGGGGCACAAGATGGCCAGGGTCCCTTGAATCCAGAGTCCAGGGCTGAGCTGCCCTGACTGCCCTTTCTAATGACTCAGCACAGCTCCCTCCCCAGCAGGAGCTTTGCCTCCTTCCTACCCATTCTGCAATTCTTGGCCCTCAATGTCCTGTTTGCAGACCCAGCTGGTCCAGGATCTGGAGACAGGTCCTGGTCACACAATGGCATCTTTATGCTTCTGTGGACCCTGGCTGGATACCTCCACATATCTATAAACAATAGAGACTAAGGTTGGACAACTACTCATATCTATAAACAATATTAATGAGCACTCTCTGACAAGCCTTGGCTCGTGATGACCTAGGCCTTGACCACAGCATGTAAGGTGCTACTGAGCAGGAAGTCTGTTGTCCCAAGGGCAGGAAAGGGTGGGGCCTGTGCTCTTTAGAAGTAAAGAATATTGAGAATGTTGGAATCGCCATGCCTGTGTTGCCAAAGATTTTTTATTATTATTATTGTCCTGCTGATTGAAATTAAATAGCTTACACTTCAGCATGTGGATCATGGATGAAATCATTTGTGACAATGGTGTATGTGATTCCATCCTTTAAAAAAAAAAAAGCAATGGGAAACAATAGGCACAGGTGATTGACAAATCACGAATCCCATGTGTAGTATGATGTGAAGCCTCTTGTGCTCCTGTCACCCACCTGTCATTCCCTGTTACCCCGTGAGCTGAGTTCTGCCAACTATTCTCAGATACCCAAAAGTTAAAGCATTGAGAGAATCCATCCAGAGTTGGTGAGGGAGGGATGGCACTCACTCCCTGGTGACTGAGACATCTTGTGGAGTCCTCAGATGGTTGATGTTCTCAGGAGTCAAAAAGCAGGTGGCTGGTGTCAACCAGGCGTGACAATCTGAAGAGATGGTAGGGTAGGAGAGAGATGATTCCCTCCCTGCACTGTGCCATGGCACAGGCATTTCTCTGAGCGACCCCATTTCATTCTGGTGGTGGTTCTTACAGGGTTCCCCAACTCCACAGCTCCCAGTCTCACCACTTCTGGTCACATCCTTCAGTGCCCTGGAATGTGAACCTCAGTGTGGTCACCTTTTAGATGCTGCTGAGTCCTAAGTGCCTCACTGCAGGGTCCAGTGTCTGGGTTACACAGCATTGTGGATAGGGAGGTCTTGAGAGCTCAACTGACAATACCAGGCCAGAATGGGGTGCTGGGGGGACTGAGGTGCATTGAAAAGAAATGGGAAGCAGTCCTGAGATGACTATCAGTAACTCCTAGAACATAGACTACACACTGGGGACTACAGATTATTTCCCTACAGACTTCTCTATTTTTGAGGATGCATGTGGACCACCCTGAATTTCCAGTTCCAAACTAAAGACAATGTGATGCATGACTGCTCAGTACAAGAAGCGAGGATCCTTGAAGGTGCTGATACCCAACCCTCTTGGATCTCTTGGGTTTTCAAAGGTAGGGCCACCCACACTGATACATGGCTTCCCACCTCCAGTGCTACATACCTCTCTTCTGTGTGTCAAATGGCACACTTTGCTAAAGCCCAGATTGTCCATATGAGCATGCTCAGTTAATAGAGGCAATTACTAATAAGATAAAAGGAGCCTGGTGTGGTGCCGCACACCTTGATCCCAGTGCTTGGAAGGTAAAAACAGGAGCTCAATGCAAGCCTCAGATGCAAAATGAGTTACAGACCAGACTCACATTAGATTCCGTCTCCAAAAAGTTTTTTTAAGGAAAAAAGTCAGCTTCTGTGTTCCTTCTTCACATCTCTCTCAATCTCTGTCTCTCTCTCCCTCCCTACCTCCCTTTCTCCCTCTCCCTCTCTCTCCCTCTTCCTCTCTCTCTCCCTTTCCCTCTCCCTGTCAATCTGTATGTGTGTGTGTGTGTGTGTGTGAGAGAGAGAGAGAGAGAGAGAGAGAGAGAGACTCTTCCACTCTCCCTCTCTCCCTGTTTTCTCTCTGAGAAAAACCAAGCAGACTGACTTAGTCTCCCACTGTGCTCATCTGGATGGCATGTTTTTCCTGTTCTTTGTCTTCTGATTTCTTTCTTTTACTGGACTATTTTCATTGTGGGTGGTGTTTTGAGTGGCAACGACCCCCATAGGCTCAGATATTTTGAATACTTGGCTGCAGCTTGTGGCCCTGTTTGGGTGGGTATAAAAGGTGTGGCCTTGGCCGGGGCAGTGGTGGCACAGGCCTTTGATCCCAGCACTCAGGAGGCAGAGGCAGGTGGATCTCTGTGAGTCTGAGGCCAGCCTGGTCTACAAGCTACACAGAGAAGCCCTGTCTCGGGAAGAAAATTAAAAAGGTGTGGCTTGACGAAGGAAGTATGTCACTGGTGGAGCAGGCATTTCCAGTTTGCAATCTGTGCTTTTTGCTTGTGTTTGAGATGTGAGCTCTCAGCTGTTCCTGCCACCGTGGCAGCTTGTCGTGATGGTGATGGGCTCTTATCCCTCTGAAACTGTAAGGCCCAAATACACCCTTTCTTCCATAAATTGCTGTGGTCTTGGTGTTTTATCACATAAGTAGAAAGGAATTAAGAAAGAACCTGGCTCCAGGAGTGGGGAATTGCTGACCTGACCATGTGTTTTGGGGAGGGTTGTGGTGGCATTGGAACTTTGGGCTGGGAAAGCCGTTGGCTGACAAGAGCTCAATGGTTCTACTGTGCAGGGAAGGAAGGAAAGAAAGGTGAGAGCAAGGCAGATGATGGAGGGCGTCCTTGTGAAGGTTCACAGGGATGCAAAGACTCTACCTGTGACACCTTGTGATGTTCTGAATTAATGATCTATGGTGTCTGATCGGCTGGAGCGGAAGGATGGCTGTGATCAGCCAGAGATCCGCACCGCTGAAGTGAAACCCCTGCATCACTCAGACAGTCCACGCTGGTTAACTGGGGCTGAGAAATTAGCAGTGACTGAAAAAGAGACCAGATTCTGTGAATCTTCCCTCAGGGACACCACACAGGAGCTGTAGTCCAGGGGGGCTAAGGTTGCATCTCATGTGTTTGTCTGACCTTGGTAAGAAGCACCCAAGTAGTACTGGGTTTCATATAAGTTTTACTAGATTTATTCATTTCATTTTACATGTAAGGGTTTTGCCTACATGTGTGTCTGTGCACCATGTGTGGTGACATATTTATGATTTATTAAAACTTGCCTGAGGATTCAGAAAGCAGAGCCAACCTCAAGGTGTAGAGATCAGACAGTGGTGATAGACACCTTTAATCCCACCAGCCATAGAACTAGGTAGTGGTAGTACATACCTTTAATGCCAGGACTCAAGATTAAGAGGTAGACCAATCTCTATTGGTTCAAGGCCACACTGATTACACGAAATTCATCCAGTCCTAAAAGAAACAGCTCACACAAAGGTAATCTCAGCACTTAGGATCACATTCCTTTAATCTCAGTACTGGGGAGGTGGAGACAGGAGAATATAGCTGGTGGAGAAAGGAATATAAGGAGGAAGATACAGGAATTCAGAGCCTTTTGTCTCTGAGGATTTATGGAGACAGGATTGCTATTTCAGCTGGACAGAGGTAAGAGCTACTAGTTTGGCTGCTTCTTTGATCTCCAGCTTAAATCTTGAACCCCAATTCTGTCCCTGGGTCTTTATTTTTCATACTATACAATGTAAGTGCTTTTTGCCCATGGAGATCAGAAGAGGGAATAACAACTCCTCAAATGAAATTAGAGATGGTTTTAAACCATGTGTGTACTGGGAGTCAATTCCTGATTCTCTGCAAGAGCATCAAGTGCTCTTAATCACTGAGCCGTCTCTCTAGTCCCCATGGTTGTTTTGCAGGTATGAAGAGGCCATGAAGAGAATCTGAGACTTGGTATTATGTGGCATGGCTGGAATCCTGAAGAGAAGCCATTAA